GAGAGATGAATGAGTCACAACAGACAGCGTTATGTTTGGTTATGGAAGATGCAAGTTCCAATACTTCCTCCAGATGTGAACAGTGTACACCTATGCAGTTGCCAATGGCATTCACATGTTTGACTTTGGTGACTGCTCACCATACACCCTTGAATCAGGGAAGAGAATTCAGGTGAGGTGTGCATTGTCCTCACTTCAAGCAGGGAGGAAGAGATCAATCCTCCAAAGCCATCTAGCATGCATAGAGAACCCTGGATATGGTCTTGTCTCTGATCTCACCACTTCTGAATACCTCCAAAGTTTAGTGCAACCTCAGGAATGATCCCTCTTGCCTTTCTCTGAAGGCTGAAGCAAATCTGCCCTTGCTTTGGAAGCAGCTAGCCTTCATGGTTCCTAAGTGTTCCCAAAGTTCAGCATCAAATTTACATCCCATCCTAAGCCCTCTGTATATGCCAGAGGGCTCATGGGAAGGTTTGCTGGAGTCACAAACAGTATGTAGTTACCAGAGGCAACCAAACTTGGTAGACCTCTGGGTCGTGGAACTCATGAAGAACCTTAGGAAGTCAGCTGTCCTACCTTATAGGGTTATAACAATACAAATAAAGGTGGCAAAGCACTTTGTACACTGAGAAGTGCAATGCGAATCAGAAAGACTTTGCTTGACTACGTGCTCTGATTCTTCTTGAAAATATTATCCCCTCCTTTAAATTATTGAAAATACTGAAGAGCATCATTATCAGAAAACTATAATGTGTTATGCTATCTTTGTAAATGGAAAATCTCATATTTATATTTAAATACAGAAATAGCAAACAAACCACTATTTATCCAGAAGGGTAACTTGTGGTTCTCCAGATGTTCTGACTTATGATTCCCTCCTATTGGCTATGCTGGTAAGGGATGATGGGAGTTGTCGGCCAATACATCTGGAGGCCCACAAGTCGCCATTCCTGCTTTATCAAGTTCACTAATATCAGGCAACAACAATTCAGATGAAGGACAGTAGACAAGTTAATGATATTATTTTTCAAACAATGATTTTTAAGTTTCCTAAATATCAGTTTAAAGAGTCCTGCAGCATATAGAAACATTATTTGGTTTCAGTGTGAAGAATCAAGCTAGTATGCATGTTTAATTTTTTTCTTTATCCTGCCAACAAATGCTACAGTAACTTCTAATGAATTCATTCTTAAATTTGTTTCTTGCAACAAATTGTCAGGAATTACTGGCTTGTATAATTTGGAGGTGGGCAGAAGGCTATTTGGACTTCCAGAAGCTGCTACCAGCATGGCCAATAGCCAGGAATGCTGGAAACTGCAATCTGAAACACCTGAGATTTACTTTCTGCCTACTCTGTTCTATAAAGTCTTAGCTGTTTGCTGAATTAATGACCTGGGGGGGGGGGAGACTTGCAGAGCTGTTTAGCCCATCTAGTTTAGAAGTGGGCAACTTGTGGCCCTACAGACTGTTAGGCCTCCAATTTCCATCAGCCCTGGCCAGCATAGCTAACAGCAAACAGTAATGGAAGTTGTAGGGCAAAATTCAGAAAAGCCACAAATTTTCGATCCATGTTCCAGGTCAGCAACCTGTTAAGTGTAACAGTAGTAGCAACCAGCAATGAAGCATGTCTTACTCTTAGATTAAGGTTCGTGTGTGTGTGTGTCTGCAGAAGAGGCTAAGGCTGTTTCTTAGAAATCTAGCAGAGTTTGCAACAGCATCAAAATCCCCTCTCAGACTGTAGTACAAAATAGCACTTTTTCCCAAATAAAAATAAGTTAAGGAAGCTACCAACAGCACATGTGAGCCTTTTCAAGGTCTCTGTATAGATTACCAAGTAACTATGGAAACTAACTAATTCCACTATTAGTATCCCTTGTTAATTATTTTTTAAATTAGAAAAATACATCCTAAAAATAATCTAAGCATGTCTACTTAGAAGTAAGTCTTATTGCATTAAATGGAAGTTAGGTAAAGGTGTATAGGATTGCAGCCAAATTCTTCAGAAAGAAAGAAAGAAATCTCCAGCAGTCATTGCTAGAATGAGTTTTCAAAAACCAGAGAATGATCTGATAAGCATGAAGCATAATGGATGTGCACAACATTATAAAAGATGTACTTTATATGCGAATCATGCTAGGGGTCTTCACCCTTGTAGTCTCTATGGCCATTTCTGCTCATTAGTCATAGTCCAGTAGAAGCTATAAAGGATTGTCCATAAATGACACACTGAGAGTGAGTTGGCAGTAAAGCTGTGATAAAGGCGAGGTTTATTGTTGGTTAAGATGGGGGAAAGCATGACATGTACGGAGGGAGACGTCAAAATAAGATTTCTGAAGTGTGTGACACTTTATGGATGGTTCCCAAACACTATGGATGTCTTGTGACATGATGAGAACAATGTGCTAGTTATTGATCTCCTCCCATTAAAATAGCAGACACAGCATACTTCTGAAAAAGTGTGAAATCTTCACTTTATTCTTCAACCAATACACTTACTGTCAATTGCTAATCTGGAGTAAATACGCCCAGTGAGGCTCAGTGTCCTTTAAAAAAAAAAAAACCAAAAAAAACTTTTTTTAGCCTTTTCTCCCAGAAAGTTGCTGAGTGTGCCTGGAGGAATCATGCTGCTGGGGGTGGGAGTAGAGACAGAGATGGAAACCATTTTTGCAGACCTAGTCTCTGTCCTCCTTCCTGCATACCAGAACACTCACTTTTAGCTTCTATGATGTTATCTGAGGTTACTCTTCTGACCTTGGAAAGCAGGTGGTTCTTTCAGCAGTGATTACAGGGGGAAGGAGGAAGGACTGGATCCTGCCATTACAGTATCTACAGCGTCAGGAAGGGGTATCTAAAAAAATCTTATATATCTTTCTATAGCACCCTCCTTCTAGACCTAAAAATCAATTATGATTTGCCATGCATACATGCCTGACATATTTGTGCATTATTAAGTGTCAGAGAACACCCCCCCACACACACACACACAACTTATAATATATTGAAAAGCTAGCAGTGCCAAGTACAACAGTGGGTTAGGGTTAGTCATACTTAGAGGAAACTACCAAAATGAACGCAACTTTCAGTCCTGAATAACTTAAAAACCATTATTTCAGTGCTCTTCTCTGCCTATGAACAAACTGAGATCCAATCAAGTACCTAGAATACAACAGAAATCACGGAGGGTTACTAGGGCATATCTTCGGAGCCTTTAGGGAAAACTACACTGAGAAAAATCTCAGTGACAGAAGATGCTTGAGAAAGAGATGATATGTATGTGCAAGTGCTAAGCGGAATGTCCTGAAAATTGCCAAGGCAATGAAAGCTCCAAGGGTATGAGCAACTCATTAACAGCTTCCATCCAGTTCCATGAAACCTCATATAACCAATATTTATATAGTCAACATTTGTGCAGTGCAACTTTCCTCCATCCTGATGACTTTCAGATGTAGTGGACTCCAGCATGTAGTGGACTGCAGAGCATAGTAGCTCTGACCAGCACGGCCAATGATCATGAATGATGGGAGCTGAAGTGCAAAACACCTGAAGGCCACAACAAACCTTTGATTAATTATATATTTCAAATGGAGAGGAGAACTGAGACTGAGCGACTTGCTTATAACTATTTAATGAGTTTATGGCAGAGGTAAGATTCAAACCAAGGACATCTGTGAACCAGCCAGAGAACTTCAGCTATTGGACAGTATAAAAAGGTGATAAATATATAAATAACCCCTATTTGTAGCCCAGTTTCTTAGCCATTAAACTCACTGTCCTAGAGGAAAAGAGCAAAAACTTTTAGAGGGACAACACACACATGCAGCCAGTGTCTGTCATGTTAACTAAATCGGCCCTAGAGCATGATAGATGAATCACTGCAGAAAGTATTCTAAATGCTCTAGGAAACAAGTATACTTTGTCAAATGCTAACTGACAGGGCTTATGATATTTGCTCAGGAGTGTTTATTCCACAAAGATTTTAAAACATTAAGTCTGCAATTTTAGAAGTCAATTAATCTTCCCTATTGGCCACACAGGGAAAATGAACAAACAAGTGCAAATATTGCCAAAGAAAAATAGTTCCTTAAAGCATTCACAGATGCAGTATTCCACAGGCAAAAATATGTTTGGGTGTGGATTTAATGTAGTTATAAAAACAGGTGCTTATGCTAAAAGTTATGTTTATGTGGCGATGGGGCCCAGCTTTCTCACAATACAGCACTTCCAGCCTGTTCTGATTTGGAACCTGAGATAAGGTGCTGGATGGACAGGAGAAATTAGTGGGTGATTCTTCAAAGTCAAAGTTAACGAGTAAGTCAGGTAGTGACAAAGCACCCAACCATCTTGAGCACAGGGTGGGGTAAACACTGTAGGAAAGAGGGTAGCAAGTGAATTCTCAGACAGTGTCAAGACAAGTTGGTGAACCAATTACATAACATCAGACATTCCAGACATTTGGCTCACAAGCAATGGGAACCACCCTGAGGGCGGTCAAGACTCTGGAAATGGATGGGAAGAGGGGGCCATTCAGTCTGGCATCAAGTCATTACATAGGCAAAAGCTACTCCCACAGATCAGAGGAAGTGTTACTTCGACTTATGCACTATGTTGTCCTAGAAAATGTCCTAAAACACAGCAAAAACCGGTAAGCTGAAACAAAGGACTCTATTTTATAAGCTTTTTGTTTTGATCTGCCAGAAAAGAAAATGGCAGGGAAGAATGTGCTCATGACATTTAGTATGACCTGCCCTGCTTAATGGGTTTATGCTGAGGATGCTCTTCAAAAGTAGAACAGCCAAAAAGGTGTCTTGGAACATTATAATGATGATTACAAGGCTGGTACTAGCTTATAAGTCATCAAAGGAACTAAGTCCTGCTCTTATGTTACAAATGTCAAAAAGTAAATATTCTGCATCAAGATTGCATATGCTAGAACTTTCAAGCTGGATAATAAGCTGCAAAGATCTTCTGAGGGGAGGCCCCACTCTCATTTATACTCACACCTTTGCATAGGCAGATGTTTTAATGAACCATTGTTTGAGATATTTCTTTTCCACTTTTGCTCCTGAGCGCCATGAACATCCATTTTCATCCACCTGCTCATTAGCAAGCACAGTCTGGTCGACGGGATCCCAGTTAACCATTGCCTAAATAATGCAAGGAATCAAAGAGGAGGAACACTGGTATTAGTAGGCATGTCACCTCAACTGGAGTCAGATTTTTGGATGGCTGTTTGGTACAAATATAGATTTGGTGGGCTCCCAAATCACATGCCAATTCAATACGTTACCCATTAGTGCCTTTTATGCTCTGCAGAAGCCAGAATTTGCATTTTAATTTTTAAAACTTTGGTAGCTTTGGTTTGACCATTTGTAAACTTTAGTTCCTTTAACACCATTGAACCATTTATAGTGACAGAAAATGGTGATAATGCTGCACAAATGTTGAAATGGGTTCAAAGGGACACTATTAAAGAATGCTGTGGAAGTTTGGGCCATAATTGGAAAGGAGTTTCTCGGGTGTGTTCTTAGCGTTCTGAATTTCTGACTCCACTCACCATTTCCAGGCAAGGCTATGGGCTGGGCTCCCCCTGAATACTAATCAATCAGCTTTGGAATCTTCCCGAAACAGCTCTATGCACACAGAGACCACACGTGTGATGCACAGAGACCAAGGAGAATAACCTCAGGCCCAAAAGCCAAATCTGGCCTGCTGGATGTCTCAATCCAGTCCTCTGCAGGGACCCAGAAGGCCACACCTATTTTCTCCCAAGCACTAATCTTTCAATGGTTTCCTGGCTTTTGCATGTTTTCCCCATTCTAAAAGATCTAAATACGTCTCCTAAGGGGCTGGGGGTGAGAAAGATGGCTGCTTTGGGCACAATTTCTCAAGGGCTACTGGCTGGTCTCCAGAAGAATCAGAAGAAGGGGGAGAGGAGCAGGAAGGGGCCTGGGAATGGGGGCCATCCTGAGACATTGAGAAGAGAGAAATGGAGACACTTCAAGACCAGACTCCCCAGGTCAGCATGCAGTCTCTGGGAATAACCAAGATGTACAGTTGGCAGGAGGATATTTGGAGCAAGGGAGTTTCTCAGACACAGGCAAGAAGGTACAGCTCTTGACCCCTTGACACATTGTCAGCAGAGGAGGGTGATCCAATTAGAGGACAGGCATGCAGAAAGGAGGTGAGCTTGTTTTCAGAAGGCCCCTTCCAAAGGGATGGGGGTCAAGCATGTCATAGCAAGAGTTCCTGGAGGTGAATACATTGGGTTCAACAAACTGTTGTGTGCATACTGAGAGATTCATTCTGAGCATTTGGACAATAAAGAATGTTTTGCAAGGAAAAGGTCTGTGACTTTGAATGTGCAAAGAAGGTACCTCAGCCCCTGACATAAGGGAGCTTTAGTTACTTGAAGCAAGAGTGTTTTGCTAAAATATATTATTACTTTTGTACTGCCCAGTAGCCAAGGCTCTCTGGGCTGCTCACAGCAAGTTGCTTGCTCAATTGTCTGTTTCACCACCTCATCCTTTGTGCATTCCTCCAAACCTCATTCCTTCATGATACTTCTCTTTAGAGAATGGAGTCTGCTGTGTGAATATAGAAAGCAACTGTCACTCATAGGCCAGTCTTTCTGATTCTCATTAAATTTGGTTCTCTGGCAAGCTGGAGGAAAGATTTCACACAGCAACTCTTGCTTTCAATTCTTTATCCACTGCCACTTCTGACCTTACTAGGCTCACTCCAGCAAAACTACCAATCTACAAACTACTATAATAGGAATGCATTTTAACTTTAAAAAAATCTATATATGCAAGGGATTTCCGATTCTTTCTTGTGTTTCTTTGAATTTTCAAAATGGATTGCACTTTATATCACGAGAATATTTCCCAGAGCAGCCATGGGGAATCTAGAAAGCAATACTTCCTTTGGGGCATTAAGGTTGCAGTCCTTATACCCACAACATGGAAGTAAGTTCCATGAAAGTTCAGTCCCACTGAAATGGGACTTATTTCTGAGTAGGCATGTATAGGATTGTTGCATACATCTTTGAAGTGATTTTCTTTGCCACATCAGAAAGTCTTCTGAAGAGTTATTTGCTTTCTGGCACCAGGCCAAGATCTTTTTATTTAAATGGCATTTTAATTGTTGATTGTATTTACTGATTTTAACAGCTTTGGCCAGGATGTCTCCAATTGCATTTTATTGTATTAATGATATTTATTTATTTGTAAGCCACCCTGAGGCTTAGGTGAATGGGGCGGCATATAAGTCCACTAAATACATAAATAAATGAAGAGAGGGAAAAATCCCAAACTGTCCACAAAAATTACTTTAGGTCCATGGTGGTATTAAACTGGGCAAAGGAAAATGGTTTCCCCTTCACCTCAAAATTCAACTGTATTTTGGCAATGTTTAACCTCACAGAAAGCTAAAATATTTCTGCTAGTTCAAAACAGAGTGATCAGGCTGCTAAATGGGGCTGGCTAGTGAGAGCATGATTCTTAAAAAAAAAAAAAACTTGATTCAGAAAGTTAACACTTATATATGAAACTTTAGGTTTGGAACCCCACTTACTTTTACATTAAACTATCTGTGGAAGCCCTCCTCTAAGTGCACATTATTTAGAGTAGTGATGGCGAACCTTTTAGAGATCAAGTGCCCAAACTGCAACTCAGAACCCACTTATTTATCACTAAGTGCCAACACTGTAATAAATCCTGAATTTGCTGACCACCAATGCAACTGAGCGACATTCCACTGGCCACCAGCTTTTCGCCGGCCCTGAAAAATGTATCTGAGTGTATTTCCTATCTGAGTGTATTTCCTACCTTTCCTACCTTCTGCTAAAATCACAGACCAAGCAAATCCCTGGCAGCTCACTGACCGGTCATGCAAAAGCTCCTCAAGTCGCAGCTAATGAGCGACTTCATTGCCTGGCGCTCTTAATCTTTCTGAATATGTGCGTGGTTGCTGGGGCAATGACGTGCCAACAGAGAGGGCTCTGCATGCCCCTTCGGGCATGTGTGCCATAGGTTCGCCATCACTGATCTAGAGGCTCATCTACATTTTGATCTGAGGCACCAGCAACTGGGAAGAAAATCTTCTTGGCTATGATACTCCAACTCTAGCATGTTAATTCCACAGAGTTCTTCCTGGAGGCTACTTTTGTGTCATTTGGAAGATGGGTGAACACCTTTTCATTTGCCCAGGGCAAAACAGAAATTACTTTAAGTTCCTATCTAGCAGCTCATGTCTACTCTAGGACAGACACCGAGAACCCAATCCAGAGCAGGACCTTAGCATGGGGAATACAGCACTCTTAAGATCTGAATCAAGGGACCCGTGACTACCTTAGTATAAAAATAAAGGGGAAAGGATGAAAGTTTCTAGATGTAAATTTTAAGTAAAGTTTGTTTTGATGTAAAACTTTGGTGTAGATGGGTTATATGATGTAGCTAGCGTTCTCTGAGTTTAATATTCTATTGTTTTCATTTGCCATTTTAGTATCTTCTTTTTCTTATTTATTTGCATCATTAGCCATACTAACAATAATAATATGGAAGGGTACAGAGAGCAGTGTTGAAAGAAAATAGGCAATCTTTCATCAGCTTTTGATGCAGAACAAAGCCACAAACACACATGCCCCACATACACTGTTATGTACAACAAAGACTGAAAGTGTCATGAGCTGAGGTTCTTCCTTCAAACAATCACCAGCAACTTTATTGTTCCAGAGTACAAATCAGCTGGAATGGATCTCTGAGCATGCACAATGCAGTTTGTTGAACCCAATCTAGTGTCTACCTCCAGGAAGGAGGTAGAACATGCCCGGACCCCATCCTATTGGGAGGGGCTCTCTGAAGGTGAACACATCTCCTCTCTGTGGGCTGCTCATTCAATTGGGTCTCCTGCCTCGGCTGATGCTTTGCCATGGGGTTGAGTGCAGGGGGAGGGGGCTGATCTGCTTCTGAGAATTCCTCCCCCTCAGAAAGCCTTCCCACTGGCTGTTCACCTTGGCAATTTGCAAGAGCTGCCTGGCTTGGCAAAACACCTGGCCTTGAGATAATCACCTTGTCTTCCTCCTGAAACTCATAATCTTGAGCTAATCCATGTTCCCCAATCTCACTGGAATGTGCTTCACTTTCCAATTCTGAATCATAGACTGGAATGCAACCAGCAGTCCGTGGGAAGCCCACCATCCTTCTTACTCTCAACAGAAAGGTGTCACACAGACTATAATCACTCAGGATTTTTGAAGTCACATCCATTATTTAATAAGAGAGAGGTCAACTTACTTCATTCTGATAGGCTAATCCAGCTTCATGAAGTTTAATAAACAAATATTGTGTCCACTTATAGTACTCTGGCAAACAAGTGGTTATTTCCTGAAAACAAAGCAAGAACAGTTCCAGGATCACCACAGTAAGACTGCCACAATACAAGCTTTTCACCCAAAAGACTATTATCAGACCTGGGACTGTACATACAATGATGAACTCCTGAAGATCCTGAATGTTGTTTATTTTATTTTATTTATTTTTGAATTTATATGCTGCCCACTAATCTAGATGAATTCTCTAGGCAGTTTATAGCAAAATACTAAAAAAAAAACACAATAAAACCAGTTAAAATCTCAATAAGAAATAAATATCACAATTATACCCAGTAAGCAGAACGACAGATGTCAAAATAAATAGCAAATTTCAAGAGTGTTCTTGGAAGTATTCAGGGAAAAGAACTGTTTTTGCCTCGTGCCAAAACAAAGTTGGCGCAAGGCAAATTTCTTTGAGGAGCCTTTTCCATAGATGAGGGGCATCCACCAAGAAGGCCCTTCCTTCTATTTACCATCCCCTTTATCTCCTTAAGGAATGGATCTTTTAGAAGGCACTCTTGCCCAGATCTTAATGGGATACTAGGTATATATGGGAGCAGACAATTCTTTAAACAGCCAGGTGCTAAGTCATTTAGGGCTTTATAGATCAAAACAAGCACTTGAAATTGGGCTTGGGCTACAACAGGCAACCAATGCAACTAGTGTTACATGAACCTGGGTGTTAATACCTGCCACCAGCTACACGGCCCCTTTTAGGACCAGTTGAATTCATTGGACCATCTTCCTCATGTAAAGAGCATTAGCATAATCTAATCTGGATATTACCAGTACATGCAGGACTGTGGCCAGGCTCCATCTATCTAGGTAGGGGCAAAGTTGGTATAGTCAATGGGACGGGGTTGTCGAAGTCACAATCCAGCAGACATACATTTATATACATTCATTAATTAAATGCATTCACTTTGAGGATCAGGAACCTGTTTTACAATTTGAGGCCGGAGTGCACTTTTTACAACATGAGAATGAGGATATTTGGCTTCTCTGGCCTAAGTAGCATAGCTATGTTACTGGGCTCAGTACAGCAAGCAACACAGACCCATCTGCTCAGTCAAGTGCTTCATTGACTTGTCTGGCTATTTCCCAATTCTGTAAGAATCCTAATACCACCCATGAGCATCACTCTGGCCAGGGTATAGAAGCTCACAGACGTCTTGTTCAAGGCAAAGCAAATAAGGCTAGCCTCTCCTCTCAGCAGTGATACAGGAAAGCCAGTGACAAGCCATCAAGTGGTTTTGTTGGTTACTTTCTAACCTTCTCCTCCTTCCTTTTTCTTCCTTCCACGTGCCTATTAATTTAGATTGCAAGCCTGCAGGAAGGATTTGATTGCTCTTGATCTTGCATCATATAAAGTACTCTCAGTTATAACCAATTGTGCCGTTCTGTCAGCAGGATAGAACCACAGGTATTAAAAGCTTCCACCTCACTCTGCCAAGTCCCACACTCAGAAGGGTCAGAGGACCCTCTGGAATTGATCTGGGGAATAAACAAGAGGGAGAAAAAAGAGGAAAGGGAAGTCCCAGCACAGAAGTGCATATCCTATTGCACAAGCAGACTTCTGCTTTCATGAGGGCTAGATCCAACCCACTGTGAGGATGTGTTTAAGAAATATTAAATATCATCACCACTATGCCCTGCTGGATCTTGGCCTGTAACACAGCCTAAGTACATGGCACCAAAATAACCATATTCTTTCCCTGTTTGCTCTTTTTTCTGTTGTTTCTCCTCTACTGAGTTTTAGACTGTAAGCTCTTTGGGGCAGGGAGCATGAGAAATGCTGATGCCAAGATAGGTGTGTGCATTCACGCACATCCACATCTATCTATAATTATGTCACTTGTAAATATGAAAAATAAAGGGTTTGAAAGAATGCCCAAGGGGTAATGACATATGCGTTAATTTAAATGATCTCTCCTTGGTACTGTATCAATAATTTAGCTCCTAGAAGTATGTCAATATCATTTAAAATGTATCACTGTCAAAATAAATTTGTTAAAAAGCTTACCCGATCCCAACTGAAAGACAAGCCAAACGCATCAAACTGATCCCGCATGTGCTGAATATTACTGTAAGACAAATAAAACCCATTTTTCAACAGAAGAGAATACTTCAGAGGCAGCTGAAATCTTGGAAAACCTAGGAACTGCTTCCCCATCTTCCTCACAACTCCATCCATCATTCGCTTTACAAGTGCACTCTGACAGATTCTTTCTGAACACTACCGGTTAACCTGTATCATGTAACTTCTGCCAGTGTATCAAGCAAAGCACTTTTCAAGAAAATCTTATTTCAAGTCCAGCATAAGGGAAAAGTGAGCTAGAAATCCATTCACACACTTGGGTAAGTTAACTAAGGCACATTAATCCATCTATTTTATGACTGTACTTCCCACTCCCCAACCTCACTCAAGGCAGGCAGCAAGGTGTGCTGAGCCAAAGAAAGAACGCACAGTTTGGGGATCAGACATGGTTATACATCAGTTCTAAGACAGACACAGAAGTCTAACACCGCACACAATTATAGGTTTTCAAGGTCACTTGTGATGCATTTTGTGTAGAGAAAGGTAAACGAATCTGGGAAGGAGCAAGAACAGCAACCAAAGCATGATTGCCTCTTGTTTCGGCACTGTCATATTTGCCCAGTAGCTATAAAAATAAACACCTTTGCGTCCATTGTGCAGGATGCAATCCATGCTCAATTGCTGCATTCTCTGCAGGTAATCCAAATGCATCCCATCCCATTGGATTTATCACCTGTAACAAAAATCAGAAATGTCATTCTTTGTCAGTTCCCAGAGTGGATTTAGTAACACCTTCAGGGCTCAAAATAATGAAGTATCTTTCCAAATTCAGCATATTCACTCATCACAGGATCAGCCAAACTCTGCCCGTTGCATATAACTTAGCTGTAAGTACAATGTATGAAATATTTTTTGGGTTACTTGGTAACATGCTGCCTAAGAAGGTCTTTGACAGTTATAAGTGGCATATAAATATGTGAGTGAGTGAGTGAGTGAGTGAGTGAGTGAGTGAGTGAGTGAATGAAGCAGGACACCATATGCTCTATATATACATATACCAGCATCATAAATTAGTTTAAAACAAGTTTAAAAGTGGCCCAAACAATTCAAATTCAAAGTTTAAAACAAAGGCCAACCCCCCCCCCCCCGAAGCAAAATGATTCAGTGTGGCATAGATATTAAGAGTGTTGAGCTAGGACAGGGGAGTCCCAGGTTACAATCTCTAGCCAGTCACAAAGTTTGGAGTGCAAACTTGGGTCAATCATTGTCTCTCAGCCTGTGAAAATAAAATGGAGGGGAAGGGGAGGAAATTCATCTACTACCTTCCTTAGGATATAAATGTAATACGGACATAAATGCAGTAATACATAATATAAAAATAAAGTAAAAACTTTTCTGTTAAAAGTCAAAGAAAACAAGAACCCTCAGCCATGTTTTCTTAGTTGGGATTCCATAAGGCAGGGGCCATCACAGAGAGAGCCCTGCCACTACTGCCTGAAATTTTACATATCTTAATGGCAGTTTAGCAAGCAGGGCCTCTGATTAACAAACAGACATAAGGGTACAGGTAATCCTTAAAATATCCTAGATCCACAACATTTAAAGCTTTAAAGTCAAAACCAGCACTTGGAATTGGATTGAGAAGTACATTGACAACCAGTATAGCTCTAACAGAGTAATTCAATCCATCCATTGAGCCACAATAAGGACAGAAGCAGCTGCATTTCCTACTGAAGTAGAAAAACAGGGCTCCCCAGAGTTCTACTGTTAGCACATGAAGTTCAATTCCGGCCTCTGCTTTTAGTGTTAAGGGTTCATTGTTGAATACACACAGAGAGAACAGATGAAAGAAAACAAAGGCATTCAGAGAGCATTTTGCTCGTCACTGAGTAGGTAGGCAGACTCCTCACACATCTGGGATCAAGGGAGGGGCTTTCAGAGCAGGTAATGATACTTCTAGAAAGATGAATCCCTAAGCCTCTTTTTCTAGAACATACACTCAGGGCAACTGGTCTTTGTCAATCGCTACATGAACATGCAGATTGCAAAGAGAGAAAATATATACAAATAATACAGTTCTAGGGTATCTTGATGGAATTTTGCAAAACAAATTCTTTATATAAAACATGTAGGAGGACGAAGATGATTTTTTAAAAAAATAGCTATCAAACAAACAAAGCATTAGAATTCTGTTATGTATTTAAATTGTACAAAGGAAAATAGCAGATATCTGACTATTTTGCATATTTTATTTTGCTGGTTATGGGGAAGTACAAACTGTCAAGCGGAACACCAAAGTCCTTCCATCTGACCTCTATGAATTTGGAATTCTATCCAATAACCTTTGGCACTCAAAATTATTTAAAGTGCTATTTCATAGAATCTCCTATTACCACAGTACAGGTCATCCAACTAAATGCTTGGACCAAACCTATCTGTTTTGGCTTTTATGGCACTGCCATAAATGCCTACTTAGATAAGCCTCCAGTTATGTCTGCTGACCCACTTGCTTTGTGTACTGACAGCCCTGCAATCAATCAAGCCCTGCAATAAGTCATTCACATGGCTACTGAGAAGCCAGACACACATCTAGGGACACACACAGTAATTTATTGAAAGGTTTTTTTACCCTATTCTTCAGCTAAAGAAGTTCTCAGGGTGACCTACTGATCAATAAAAGACACTCCCTGTCCTCAGGCTAACAATCTACATGACAAAATTCAACACCAAAGGAAAAAAAAGGGATGGGAAGGGAAAAGGAAAATGGCAACTCAGACACCAGTTCTTAGAGATACAGAGTTATTATAATGATCAACTGGGACAGAAACTGTTTAGGGAGAGGAAAAGGAAGATTACTAACATCTTAGGAGACCTGATGAAATGGGCCCCCTTCTCATCCCTTCCTCTGCTGCAAATGTAGAAAGAGACATCACATACATGGCACACGCACAAACACACATGAAAAAGGAATACATCAGTTCATGCATACATAAGGAAACAAGCATCTGTCTCTCTCACACACAGATACACAGTTACACATAACAACTTTATAAATGTTCAGCCTGTAATTGGTCTAAATTGCTCAGACATAATTAGAACATATGGTTTAAATATGGCTTAAATCAGAAGCAAAGCAAAGTGGAGAATATTACACATTTAACCTGACAAAGGAATGTATCTAGCAAATCGCCTAAGTGCCAGACTGGTGTTCTTAACCACTACACCACATTGGCTCTCAATTACCAGGACCCTAATGATCTGACAGGGGCTGGATGTCCTCTACCTTCCTCACTGGCTCCAACTTGTACCTCCCAATAGCAGCCTTTATCATCTAACCTGCTCAGCTAAATATATTGATACAAACATAATTTCTTATTTAATATTTCAAAAGGAAAAATAGAGCTAGCATTAAACTTTTCTCACTGAACTCCTATTTACATTGCATGAAACACCAGGGTCACACTGTCCAACGATATCAGCACAGCATCTGGAAGGCCTTAAATTGCTCACCCCATATTATGGCAACAGATGTTTTATAACAGCAGCAGCTTTCTTACAGTTACGAATGTGCTGCCATAAAGCACATTCAATAAATAGAATTGCTTAACCTTTTATAGAGTGATTAGCACTGGGAACTAATTACTGTTTTAAAGATAAGTGATGAGATCTCTAGGTCCCTGACAAGTTCACCACACTATGAGGCATAAGCTTCTACTGAGGAAGTTCAGAATGATTAACTGATGTTTATACTTGTCACAGAAGATCAACCTGAACAGATTTTTTTTAAATCGCTGTGCCCCATAACACACTTCATGTACAAGTCTGTGCATATTTCTTTTTATTTTTCCTACATTATAGTGACCCTGTGAGTGAGTGAGTGAGTGAGTGAATGAATGAATGCCTTGAAAAATGTCCTGTCCTTATTTTTAATTTATTTATCAGATTTGTGTAAAAGCCACCCATTAGCTTCACACTCTCTGGGCAGCCATTACAATAAAAATGTGACTAATAATATTAAATAAAATAGTAGTTAAACTATCTTACTAAATAAACAAAATAAAAACACAATATATATAATCAAATGAAAACATATATTAAAAAATTAAAAACCAGTTCCAACCATATAGATGGTATAAATAGTGCCATTGGTGCGCTGGAAAAGAAAAAAAAAATGTCAGGTACCTAAAACTCAGTAGGGCCGGTGCCTGACAGATCTCCAATGGGACAGTGTCCTTGAAAGCCCTGATAAGCTCTTGTAAACTCAAGGCTGTGGCTCTCTTTACGGAATTATTCAATCTCTTAGTTGGTCTTCCTCTTCTTGTGCCTTCACTTCTCTCCATACCACAAAGATGCTAAACAACCAGTCAGCTAAGAGTATACTCCTCTTCCCCAAGGTTTCCTGAGTTCTCTTTGGCCATACACTATATAAGCAACCTGCCTGCTCCAAATGTAAGGGTGAAATGGCATGTTACAAAAAACATGGGGCTATCCTTGAAAAATGATAGTTCTGCCTCACATTCCTGAATTCCCTCTGCGACACCTAGCTCCTGTTACTCCACAGTATTATTCCTCTGTTCACCTTCAATTGCTGGCAGCCATTAATACGGATTTGAGAACAAACATTGAAACCAATGCAGAATACAGAGGAGGAGAAGGGGGAATCTTTACATGGGGCTCCCATTTTGAGTGGAAGGCCTGTGTTCTTTGTAAAGCAGAGTTCTGTCCTAAGCTGGTATACAAATGGAAGAATTCACATTTAAGTCTGCAGGATCATGAAATGTATAAATGAGTACCACAGTTCTAGAGGAATGTATGTATAAAACTGGTCAGTCTTTGTGGCCTATTGCAGTCAATGGTAAGGCAAGAATATTACTTTTTAAAAAAAGTAAATTTGTAGAATCATCATAAAACTACGTATCTAAAGTGATTACAAGTACTCTTTTGATAAACTTATTAACAAGAAGTATCACTATTGACATTGATTTAGGTATGATGTTTTACACAACAGTTTAAATGTAGCTCAAAATGTATCTCTGAACTAAAAATGTGTATTTGATTGCAAGTAACTTCAATTTACATTCAGAAATAACCAGGAAGACTTTGCCTGTAACTTTCTGCAAATTTTATGTGAATATTAAAATCACACACATAAAAATAAGTACAGCCACGTTTCTCTCAACAAGATTTATTTAAATGTCAGAGGTTGATTAGTTCTTTCCCAGGCTCTACCTAAAATTATTCACATATTCCAAGAAGGATGTTAATACAATATGCCTGATGAGCAACAAACAAGGAACCGGTGAGCAAGGAATCCTAATTTTAAGAACCATCTAGCTACCAAAGGCTTAAGGTATTGTCCAAACCCAACCACTGTCCCTCCCATAAGAGGGTCTGTTTAGGAGGCAGGGTGAGAGAACAACAAATGAGGAGAAAGGTGAGGCGGGGATAAAGCAGACAGTTCAGAAAGAAAGCTTGGCTGGATGGTACTACACTTAATAGAAGCACTTAACACTGCCATATTTTGTTGCAGATCCTGCTTGTCTAAGTATAAGGTTAAAGGCAGCTAAGCCATAGAATGCTGAAGGGAAACAGGGAATGAGGAAACCCCAGCGACACCACATAATACCCTGGATGGCAACACCAATCTTGGGAGTAGGGGAAGATGCAAGCTAAGTAGTTAAAAACTGTCCTTCCCATACAGTACTAAAGTGTGGGAAGTACTATAGAACACAGTGAGGAAAGGGGGAGACAGTTATCTTCTGTGAGCCCCAAACCAAGCTATGCAGCTCCTATAACCAGTAGCAACTGCTCTAGACAGCCAGCAAAAAGATCTCCTGACCCATTTCTAAGTTTTCTGTGCAGCAGCAGAAACTTTTCCTCAAATTCTATTTTTGCAAGACTAGCCTGCTTACCTGCTTGGGAGGAACGTATCTGAACTTAGTGGTTCTAACTCCTGGGCAAATATACTGCAAGGTTTTTAATATTCCTCCTCCTGCTTTTTCTTCATTTCTTTCCTTCTTGATGGGGTTCCTATCTTTCCTACATCGCAGGCCAGGAATCTGGGCATAAGTGTTGCAGATTCATGCCTTTCAAAAGTAAATGATGTCATTATCAACTTACTAATATTGCTGAAATTAGTTCTTTTCTCTCTGAACATACAACTATCACTCTTGTTCACCCACTAAGCCATCTAGGCTTGATTACTATTATCTCTTATTTATCTAGCATTATCCATTATTCACACTACAGCTCATCTCAGGTTGTTTACCTTAAATATCCTGTTTAAGGATATTTCCTCTTTACACTAGCTACCTTTCCCTTACTGTGACCATTTAAAAATAATATTGTTAAATCCATGCACCTTGTTGTCCTCTGCTTATTTTCTTAATTACATTTAATATTCTTTCTAGATCTTTGAGTCCCTCTGGTACCAATCCTTTAGATCAAAGATTGCACTGGTTATTTTGCCTCTACCTATGGAGGTGGGAGAGCTCGTGTTACCCTTGGGACTTGCTGCCTCCAGGTACTTGTACAATCCCACCCTCTTGCCCTATGAGAAGAGCACTGAGTCATGATTATTTTCACATGCCCTCTGCAAATAACCAAGGTATTTTCATTTAGTGACTCCCTTTGCCCACTCTCTTCTTTTATTTGTGTTTATTTAAATTGTAAACTTGTGGGCAGGGTGTCGTTGCCTTATTTTATGTTTTATACAGTATGGTTACTTGTTTTCTTTTAGTCTCTTAACACATATCATCATGCACTTTGGCCTCCTTCAAAATACAGTTCCTTGTACTGAATTGGGCATGGGAGAAAGCTTGACAGCAACACAGAAATGGCTGACTTGTAAACTAAGCACAAATTTTTGGACAACTGTACATTTAAATGTAAGGATTATATACATCCTGTGCACATTTGTGTAAAAAGAAATATTCATTATCATCTGGTACATACATATTTAGCTGTTATGATAGAGAGAAATGGACTGCATAAAATACATTAGTAACACAAATTGTTTCGAGTCCACCGTAATTTACCCAAAGATTAATCTCAGAAGCAGATGTATTTATCTGTTGCCATGGAAACTAATGTAGTCTTCAAATCACATTAGGGAAAAGCATGGTTTCCAACTCCATTGTCTCTTAACTCTGGGCTGTGAATAGATTTTTAAAGGTGTTATAAAAATGCACTTTCCTGAACTTGTGATCAGCTAGTAATCAAAGAAACACCCTCATGCAGAGAAACCAAGTTCAAATAGAGTAAAAGAAAGGCTGAAATGGTGAACACTGATGCCACAATCTCAAATAATAAAATAGCCCAGCAAAATTGCAGACACACTTCTCCTAATTCATAAAAGCAAAGGAGGGAAGGAACAAGAATGTAGTAGAAAACATATAGATTCTCCCACCAGTTCTTCTCTTTCTGAATCACTGCTCTTTTCTGTAGGAACTGGCTGCAGCATCTAGCAATACGGACATGCAAGTCAGAAAATCTACTGAATTTGTATTAGGACTGAAACATGGTTCCCTGATCAGTTAGATTAAAATGATTAAAACATTCCAATTAAATAAAAAGATAGTGGGTCAGTAGCTATAACCTTTAAAAAAAATTCTACAGATAGCAAGCACCATCTTAATAGAGGCATACATTCCACTGTAAGGGAAAGAAGGTTGTTGCACAAGCAGGCATCTTTTTAGAATAAAGTATCCCCACTGCCAGACCAATTACACATAAGAAAAAGGCTAATATACTAGAATAAAACTGAAATGATAAATGCTGCAATCCTAAGCACACTTAAATAGTGGGAATAAGCATTGTTCAATACATTGGGACTTACCTCAGAGTAAATACATACAAGATTATGCTATAATATTTCTTTCATCAGGTGGCAGCCTTAATTTGTATGTTTCTCCTAACTCGCACCTGCCTGTTTTCTTAGAAGGAAAGTACCAATGCCTCTTTAAGCAGCTTATTAAATGCTCTCTCTCCAGTGAGGTATCTTCTTAACAACCTGAACTTCATTCAACAGGACTAATCAATCACCACAAGAGGACCCTTTCCAACAAAGGATGCTTCCAGATGGAAGGTCCAATACTACCAATTCACTGCTCCTCTGCTATGGACCACAAGCCAAACTGTAACTGACTGTATGCATTTGAGGGGTCTAGTCCCTGCTTTTTATCATTCTCGTTGTTGTTTTTGGCATTGGCATCTATGTTCCCTCCACATGCTAAACATGACATAGCCACATGGGCAGTATTGCTCCCACCTTCATTAGCTTCCACACCTTGTTTTGTAGGCATCCACATGTATTTCTATGGCTACAGATCAAGCTCTAAGCCCCATGAAAGAGAATACCTAATCTCTAGGCTGGTCAGTTTCACAATCAGACAACCTGAGATAGTCAGTTTCCACCTTCAAGCTTAAGAACTTGAGGGGTTGATACTTGTTAGATGCTCTACCACAACACAACAGTGCAAAACTTAAAATAATAAAAAAACAACAACAGTGACTGCAGCACAACCTTACAGGATTACAACCAGACTTTACACATCAGTATCTGGAAGTCAACACTGTCATTACCAATGTAAATCACCTATTTCAGCTAAATGAAATGTGTGGGTGGAAAAAACCTCATTCCAGGAACAAATATAGGTAAGAGCTACTAGACTGGGGAAAGCACTTGCAGCGCAGGACATGCTATGGCTCTCAAACCAGAAACATACAGTGAGTGAAAGAGAAGAGGGAGGCATCCCAAACACATTATCCACTTTCCCAGGGGTTAACTCAACCCACTGCATTTCAATCACAGATATTCATATCCAAACTTGCAAAAGAGACTGCATTACTCATATTCTCTTTCCCTCCTTAATGGATTTGTTTTGCAGCAAGAAAAAGAATGGCAGAGCAGGAAAAGGTATAGACTTGCTATTTTCTGTTGCCCAAAATGATTTTTTTAATGGAGTAGGACAGAACCACCAAAGAAATGCAAGATAGGCTAGTAGATAAATAGTTTTGGCAGATAGTAACAAATTGTGCCAACAATAAGGAGAAAGAATTGGGAAGTAAGAAACACTATGTTGGAAATCCTTGGAAATATATGTTAAGTTTTCCTATGATCATCATTGTCTTTCATCAAGGCTACCTGGTGTGAGGTATACCTGGAAAAAAAGCTAGGCAACAAGCCAGCTAAAAGTATATTTTTAATGAGAAATCTAGACTAAACCATCGCTTTCAATAGCCACAGTCCCTCTGCCTCAGGGCGTTTGCTCCACAAAATCAGACACACAGAACAGATGAAATGGTATCACTTGCTGGACCAGCTAGCTGAAAATCACTGCAAGCTTGCAAAATGCACAGGGTTGGTTGGTTGGTTGGTTTTGATCACACACAGGCATTCAGTTGAAATACAGAGTTTTCTATATGTTCACACCAATGTATATTAAACTATATATGCTTCTTTTAACAAAAAGTGGGTGAGTGCCTCACCACCATCTCCGCAAGCAATCTTGAAAGAGGAGTATACCATACTGTTGTCTCCCTGAATAATTTTGGTCTGAGTCTCTTCCTGAATGTATTTTTGTCCATTTTTTAAAAGTATTCATGTATTCTGTACCGTTTAAGTATTTTTCCAAACAAATATGAATAAAACCAACCAGTAACAGATACCTGAAATCCTCTCATTCTCTGAAACCATGCTACTGTATCACTTATGGTATAAACTCGAACATGGCCCATGTGCAGCTTTCCCGATGGATATGGAAACATTGACAGGACATAAAACTTTGGTCTTGATTTCTAGACAAAACAAAAAGTTTGTACATTGTTACCAGAAAAAACCTGCTTATCACTTATTTTAAAAAACATCCATTCATTTTCTTCGTTTTTACATTTGTTATCTTAAATGCAGATAAGCAAATTTGATTAAGGGTGAAAGTAAAGACAAATTTTAACACATGTGACAACCCAAAGCACAACAAATGGGTTGTTGTTGCATCATGGATTGCCTTTACATGTAAAACCCGCAGTATGGTTTAATTATGGGTTGTTAATCACAAACAGTTTATGACCCAACAAGCCATGGATTCTCTTTTTGCTTTATTTGTGATTAACAACCCATGTGCTGGATTCACATGTGCTGACAACTCATGATTCAACAACTCATATTCAAGTGTGGGTGTTGTTACATGCAAACCAGAACTTAATGTCAGTTTTGAATCTTGATTTCTAGTCTCAACTGGAAGCATTTGTTTATTACATTAAAGATTTTCACACTGACTTCAGTATCCCCAGAAGGCACTGAGATGTTGGTCCTTTGCAGGTGTACTTAAGACATCATGAGTCACTGATAATGCTTCCAGATGGACAGTTTCTAGAGCTACCAATCAAAAAGGAATTGTGCAGCTATTGTCTTTAATAGATTTCTTGTGGAAAGAAGAAAAGATTACACAAGTGGCAGGGAAAACATGGGAAAGCCTCAAGTGGAAGATACAGCTACCTGCACAACCCCTACTATCCATGTAAAATTCTGTAAATGAAGCAGGGCAATTGCACAATGAAATTCTTAACAGAAACACTCCTGAACATTTCTTAAATCAGTTCATAACATGATTGTTATTGTTTGTGTGACTCATACCACTTTGCAATCTCTCTGGATTTCTTTCGGAAACACTTTTCCATGATGAACAATTAATTCCATATACAAAAATCCATGTTTTATAAAACATTTGTGGGATTTTAATATAATCAGCAAGTATTTTAGTTTGTAAGATTCGTTGCTTTTACAGCTTCTCATTTACTCTGGTATGAATTCAGGATCAAGACTAGAATGACACACCTTATACCATTTAGGCCAGATTCACATATGCAAGTATACCTGCAACTGCCTAAATGCAACCATTTGGGGAATGATTCATTTGTCATTTGTGCAGAGAGTGGTTCCTGCCATTTTCACTGTAATGTCACAAACTCAGTTCATAATTCTTCTATGAGTCATTCCATTTCTGACTTGAACTGGGCCTTAGTTACATTTGTCAGTTGATTACCTAACTTAAAATGACTCCCAGTGAACCAGTTTGCAAAGACTTTTCCAATATTCAATAGCTAAGAGGGCAATCCTATGCTTGTTTAGAAAGAAATAAAGTAAAACAACTCCCAGGACTGCATCCTTAATGAATATTTTCCCAGACTGTCAGCACAGTTCCACCAGCAACCACTGCTCAAATCTCTCTAGTCCTTTGCCTTAGAGAAATTTTCATGAATTGTAAGTAAGATTGTAAACGTTTTTTTCCTGGCACAGCTTCTGTGACTTTAACAGCTGAACAAAAAGCAAAAAATTAACAAGCAAGCTTTTCCCACTATGTAAATCTGAGACAGAAAAGCTCCACCAGATGAATTTCTGTCTTCCACATAGCTAGCTGCTAGCTACGAAAGAGATGCAACTGTTTTAGGGCAAGCTGGTGCAGTGGTTAAGAAAACTAGACTTTTACCCAAGAGAATTACGGAAATCTCTAGTCATGTAAGAAAGTTACTAGGTGACTAGCCATTATTTCTCAGACCAACTTACCTCACACAGAAAATAGCAGAACCCCTGGACTCTTGATAATGTAGGTAGGATATACATTTAAGAGAAGAAACTTAAATGTGTTTCCTGCACTTCTGTCAATAGCTGGTTGAGACCCAGGGATGCTTGACAAAATATATACACATACTGTAGCTTTGGCAATAATTTGTTGGTATTATGTTTTGTTGGTATTATGTACATTGTTAATGTTGTTATTTGTTGCTTGGTTTATTGATTGTTGTGGTTCTTGTACGCCAATCTGGAACAATTTTTGTATAGGACGGGATACCAAAAAAAAAAAATCTAAATAAAATAAATAAATAAAGCTGAGACAGGCTGATGAGCTGCATGCACTCTAAGAATCAAAGCAAGCAGCTTCCAACTGAAGAAAATAGCAACAGCCAAAACTCAGGGTCTTTCAAAATGTGGATTTCAGTCTGCTGGAGTAGCAGGAAAGGAGGGGGGCATTCTGTTCTTAAGTGGTGTAAAACAGTTACATCAGACTGGAGATTCTAAAGGAGGAGTTCAGGGTTCTCACACACTAAGGCTGCTGGCATCAGCTGTCACTCAATCACCAATAGGAAGCAGACAGCCTGCAGGGGTGTATGTTGCTCACTATTGCTCCCTCACCATGCTTTTCTTGCCTGCTGCCAAAAATCACTGCTTTTTTACAAGTACCATACCATGAAATTATGGTGACAGTAGGAACAGTACAGTCCCCAGATCTACCACGGTTTTTCCCCCATGTTCTAACTCATCCCATGGAAAGAATACTTTAGAAGCTGAACTGGTATATGCAAAGGGAAATAGATGACAACATATCATGGAAGACAAATAAAGAGCAGGCACTATTTTATAGTCAATAAACCCAGGGTTATAGTATATGCAGTCACTACGGTTTCCAAGAGGAAGTAAAACAGATGGGGGAAAAGACAAAAGTTGAATGTTGCCATATTCCTTACATCTTTCTCTGCAGCTCTGTTAAACTCATCCTTTATTCTTGAATGCCACCAATTTTCAACTTTCTTCCTCGTTTCCATTTCATAGTTTTTTTCCCACTTCCCTGTTTCACTATAAATAGATCTGATGAATCTTGGTACTAGCCTCTTCTGCAATTTAATTGGAACTAGTCTTTCATTTAATTGACTTCTCCAATGCGAGGAAAACATGGATCTATGGCAAAGGACCCACATTTTGCAGCATATATCAGCAACCCTGTAAAAACAAAACGAAACAAAACACATCCACACAATGCAATTTCAACTTTGATCATTGCCATGCCGACAGATATAAAATTTTTAGTTTAACAAAAGAATGCTACTTTTTGGAGTTTCTAGTATTGAAACCTTTTCATTTAAAGACAAAGATAGTACAGATACAATTCTATTTAATTTTAAATAGAAGAAAGACCTGTAGCTCCCAGCATACTAGAGCTAGCATTGCAGTCCTTACACAGGATTGTTCCTTAAGTGAGCCAATGAGTTTGGGCTTAGCATAGATCTAGGAAGAGTCCAACCCTTGTGTGCTACAGTTTTTAGACATGGGCTTGATTCTGTCTCATCTATTCAGGCTACTGGGTTCATAAAGGCTACAGTCATCTCAAACTACCTCCAATCATTTCTTCCCAAAGGGAACGATCTTTTCAGCCCTCCTTCTAAATGTCTAAATCTGCAAGTGGGCCATAAACAGAATTTTGATCATTTTGTTGAACTTTTAGGAACTGTGCCCCTTGTTGGTACATTAACACACAATACCTATTTCATTATTTTACTGGGCATCACATTTGGTGCAGCATTCCCTCTGGGAAAGAGGCTGATATATTAATTAAAAGAAATTTGGAAACAGATGTGACCATATGAAAATTCTACCATGGGATAATGTTCTTCTAAACTTTATTCCCGTGCAAGACACCAGAAAATCTATAGTACTGTATAACGCAATTAGCAACCTAGCACACTCCAAATGTTTTGGACTACAGTATCCATAAGCCTTAGCCAACACAGCCAGTATTCAGGAATGATAAGAACTATAGTGAAAAACAACAGGCAAGGAACAGGTTGCCTATCTTTCTGTACAATACTAGATGCTCTGCAATATTCTACAGAATAAAGGGAAGTGCATCTGTGAAGGACTGGTTTACACATTCAGATGATAAAAAGGTATGAACCCTGCTGTTGGACCAGACCAATGGTGTATCTAGCCCAGCACTGCTTAAATTTAAGTGGAGGAAACACAAGCACTGAAACCTTATCACACATGAAGTAATTTTGCAAACTGTGTATAATATGCTGACAACCAGTCATCTAGTTCCATGCAATTCAGCTCTCCTCTATTAGGTTCATTTTAATAAAAATTCTATAGATTGAATAAGAAAAGAGAATATAGCACATAGTGTTCAAGAGAACTGTAAAATAGGGAGTACAGCATTTCCAATAAGCCGAAGCAGCTTGGCCCATGATGAGGGATGATGGGAGTTGCCGTTTTGGCCCATCACATTGATACAACCCTGTGTAAACTGATGCTTATATCTAGCCAGTTATTTAAAACTTACACAGTACCAATATATTCCTAGGATACAAGCCTATATATAGTTAGAAAAAAGTACAATTCCCACTATGTCAGCATGGGATGGATAAGGCATGCTGGGAATTGTAAGCCTTTTTTTCCATTTTAAGCATGCCTAGGATTGCAACCTGAGGGCTGCACTTGAGCCTGCAGGTTCACAATCGAAGAAGCTCGATACGGCAAAGGAAATGCAACAATAATTAAATCATCATCATTAGAGAATGGGGAGGAAAGCAAGTACTACAGCAGCAACTGCCGCTCCTTCTCTGACAGAGGGAAAGGCCAGGTAGGCTTCCCTTTATTTTCACACAGGGTGCCGCTTCCCCACGGCCCTGGGTCCACCTGGGCGAAACCAAGAACGTGTGTGGCTTCTCTCCGGCACGGCACGGCACGGCACGGCACGGCACGCTTTCTCCCAGAAGGAAGCTCCCCCGATCCCAACAAGCGTGCACAGATAAGACCCTGTAGCCTACCGCTAAGAGGAACTATTCAATGAGGAGGCGCGGAAACAAGTCGTAACAGCAAGCACGCCACATAAGCCGTTACAGAAGAAAGAGGCGCCCTTCTAGGAAAGCAGGGCATTACCTGCAAGCGGGGAGGGGGGGGCAGAGAAACAGGACGGCTGTCACTCACAGCCTCCGAGCTAGATGGGCGCCGCCATCTTTAACTTTCGGCTCCCGCTATCGGAAAGACCGAACTGCGCAGGCGCAAGGCTAGGGGGGGCGTGACCGCTTAAGAGCCGGGCGAGTTTGAAAAAAGGGGTATCTGCGGCTGAGGCCAAGCATACCAGCCAGAACAGAGGTGAGCGGGGGTTTTTTCCTGTCTTGTCTCATTTCCCCCTGCCCTCCTTTTCTTATTGCATTCTTCTTATCCCCCTGCTGCTAAATGCTGAGGTTTATTAACTGTTCCTATGCTTTCAATGGGCAATGAAATGCTCTCCAAGACCCCATAAGCAGCAAACGTGCAGAGAACCTTTCCTTTATCTGATACAAATTTTATTCTATGTACCATGTTTCCAATCCTCAGTATACGGAGCTTTGTGGAAACTTCATTTTCTGATCAAGATGAGCAATTGGCAGCCCTTCAAACTTTCTTAAGCTTGCAATGCAGCTTGGCTGCTTTTGGCTTCCTTATTTTGCTGTGTGCCGACTGAAGCCAAAAGGTTATGCGGTAAAGGTAGGTCAGGGTGTCCCTGAGAATGGGTGGCGATTCCTCCACTTTTACATTTTTGTGTCTGCTCTCAGGACTGCAAAGGCGATCGGGTAGGTATGCAAAAAATGAGGAACGCGCCTGATCTAACTTCCCTTGCATCGCATGGAGCTGTGGAATTCTGGGATTAACGCTTTTGAATTGGAGACTGTCCTGTAAACGTTCAAGTGCGTGTATAAAAATGAAGGATGTTTAAACAAAAATACAAAAACTCTTGGGCTTTTTTTCTTTCTTTTGCAAATTCATACTGCTATTGGAGAAATTGCAAAATCAATCAAAATAGAATGCTCTACAGTTTTTTAGGATTTGATTCTTTTCCTTTCCTTCTGCCATGCTATTTTGAATTTAATTATTATTTTTATTTAAACTGTGCTTCATGGAGTACCATCACTTCCATTTACGGAAAATAAATTTTTTAAATGTTTTGCTCTAAATACAATAGCATCTGATCAGCTGTTTACAGAAACTGACTTATACATTTAATTGGTTCATTTTTATTGTCACAATTTGTCTTATTTATTCGTAGCACTTTACCTCTCCAGCTGGAAAAATAGAGATTAATAATGTGACAGTTCCTGCTCTCAGGCTTACAATCTAAAAGACATGGCACAAAAGGAGAAAAGGAGCAACGAGGGAAGAGGAAAACAGAAAAAACTCAAGCACCAATTCTTAGCTTCAAAGTTGTTATAGGTGGTGTTTGTAACAGAAAGCTGGGAAATAAGCTTCTGCAGCTGTTCCTTTTCCAAGCTGGGAAAAAGTTGGTCTCTCCCTTGCCATGATGGTGAACCTAGAAAGTGGGGTGCAGCCGGTGGATGAGGCCAGAGGCTGCAGTCCTAGAGAACTCTTTGTTGGAGAACAGTGAGGAAGGAGTGAAGAGAGCACCCTGCAGCTGCTGCTGCTTCTCTGGCTGGTGTATGGGGGCATGTTGGCCTCCCCCTAGCAATAATATATGCTGGGGAGGTTCAGTGTTGATACCTTCTAACAAATCAAATCATTGGTCCATCTCATGTGGCCCAAGGGCTGATTGAATTTTCCCTGGACATTTTCTTAGGCTGCAGGGCCAGGTAGGTTCTTGGGAGCAGCTGCAGGAGATCAATTTGCAAAGATAATGGAAACAAAGGGTGGAATTGATTAACACCAGGAACAAAAGGGACAGACTTACATTAGCATTATCTAAACTAAGGAACAGGACTGACAACATAAATTTTTCAATCAGATCATGATGCCTATCTTTAATAGTTAAAAAAAACAAGGGCAGACTTCCAATTGTCTGAGGCTCATGTTTAGGCTGATTTATTTAGGTTTTAGGTTTATTTGGACAGACAGACAATGTGTAACAAAAAACACAAACTCAGACTGAGGATTATTAACCCTATGTAAACCATTCCTTTTAATGACTACTTGATCTACCTTGTGTCTAGACTAAGTAGGTTGCTGGTTTTGTGCTAGAGATTCTTTATATGCCCTGCCTGAACTGTCCAGGGGTTTAGAACTGGTTTTGCTTTGGCCCTCACTGGCACCTTTAGAAAAGCATAGCCATATAATGGAAGTTTAAAAGAAGCAACCAACTCCTGGCTGTACACATGAACCAGACTGACTGAAGTAACCAATTTGAACTCCAGCCAGTTCTTTGGCTTTACCCAAACTATTTCACTTCTATCTTGTACCCCCTTTTTGTTATTACAGTCTATGTTCTTAGTCTTTCTTGGACCTGGTTTCTTATTTATTGGACCTTCTTTGACCAGTTAGGTTTATTTATTTATTATATGTCTATTCCACCTTTTTTCATCCAAGGAAAAATTCTCATCCTCTTAGTTAAAAAATAATATTTTATTATCTTGTTTGTGAGAACAAGAACTGTCCCTGACTACCCTCAAAGCCATGGTACCAACATTGGCCTGAAAGTGGAAGTTTGAAGAAAACTGCTTTTATCTATGCATTCTACTTTTCTTTAATGTTTTACAATACTGCATGGGGCACAGATGAGCAGGTGGGCTGGTTAAAATGCTGACTGCCACTATTTCTTGCTTTAACTTTTGTTGTAGGTCCCACTTGTACCTATTTAACTACCTGTCCTGGTTCTCCTCCCACAGTAACTTCAGAATTCCAGATGTTGCATCACCACACTGGCTTCCAAAACAAATGCAAACAGACTAGGGATAGAGGAAGTGCATAAGTATAGACATAGCAAAAATATATGAGGGGAAATTGGTGCTTGTACATAGTGTCATTTGCTATAGCATAGACCATAAGAAGCATAGGCCATGGTACAGAAGCCAAAGAATAACTATCTCTGGGGCTTAGCTTCAGCAGAACTTCTACTTTAGTGACAAGCCACTTCGCAATTGCCCTGTTTAAAGCTCCCTTTTCACCTCCTCAGGCCTTCTGTTCTTCCCACAGAATAGTGTGGAGCAGGTTTGCTAATCTTTCCAGAAAGCATTCCCTTCCCAGGTATGGAAAGAAGTTGCTGAGTACTGTAGTTCTAAGCTCTTTTCACAAGATGCAAGCATGAGTTGATTTGTCTAGATCTAAACTAGCAATCCCACAACTCCGTTTGCCAAGAACATACAAATTATATAGATGAGCAGCTGCCCTGTGCCACAGATGCTGAGGGCTTTCCTCTGACTTACCACCACCATCATCACATTGCATTTATATCTTGCTTTTTTTCCTCTTATGAGATATCCAAGGTGGCTTACATAGTTCCATTTTATCCTCAGAACAACAGTCCTGTCTGTATATGTTATACAAAAAATCTATAAAATGTTAATAAAAACAATCAATACAGCACCATAATTACAAAGAAACAGCATCACCTGCCTTCTGCTTCGTCTCTGTGATTTAAGGTGACCCCCTGAAGGTCAAGCACAAGGGTAGGCAAGCAACTATTGTGGATGACAACTCACATAATTTCTGACTATTGACAATGCTTTCTGGACCAGATGGGAGTTCTAGGCCAACACATCTGGAGGTTTACCAGGTTGTGTAACCCGATAAAGCAGAAGGAGGTGAAACCACAGAGCTGCCATGTCACTGGATTTAGTCAAGATGCTAAAAGAGGGAGCTGTTCCACCCATTTGCCCTTCCTATAAGTCAGGAATGTAGAATGCGTGGTCTCCAGATGTTGAAGGACTGTAGCTCCCATCTCTCACTATTAGCATACTGGCTAGTGTATGCTGGGTTCTGAAGGACCACATTTTCCTCATCCATGGTGTGACAGTTGTTGATAGCTTCCATTTGCCAATTATCTTGTCATGGAAGGATTAATACAGGTACATTTGGACAGCTCTGATTTGCTTCTCTTCATGGTTTAGAGTTCCTGAAATGCCCCGCCTGGGCCGGAAAACAGTCACATCTGCTTCCACCTCAACTCAGCACACACTGGCAAAGCGCCTACCAAGCCAGCAGGCCAGTGAAACTTCCTCGGTGGACTACAGTATCCTTAAAAGGGTCCAGCTACAGCAACAATGTAAGAAGTTGGGTCTTCGTGCCACAGGGAAGGTGAGAGGAGATTGTTCCAGTTCCTCTTGAATGTTCTCTTCTGTTGTCTCACACTCCACCACCACCACTAACCATACTGGCCAAGGAGAATACAATCACACACAGTCCACAACTTCATTGTGTCATCGCCTCACTTTTTCTTCTGCATTTAGATGACTAAACAAATCACCCAACCTGCCAAAGCTGCTATCAACAGGACCAAAGCAATCTAGTTAATTGCTCTAAGCTCCGGCACCCTGGCAAGTCCCACTACTGACACCTGCTTTGGGGAGGGAGGACTTGACATTTGGTTCTAGCCCTGTGCTTTGAAATTCTGGTTCTAGCCACCATTTTAATTTCCCACAATGCCCCCAACAAACCTTTGGAGATTTGTAGGCACTTAAAATGGCAGCTCCTGGCCATCAGGCTCTTAGTGAGAACATGTTATGGCCTATCACTCCAGTCAGCCATAACAAATGGTGAAGGATGGATGGGAGTAGTTTTCCTTTAGATATGTTGGCCTGCAGGTTACACTCCCCATGTCACCCACCACTGCTCAGGGAATCCTCACACTTTGTCCAGGGTCCCCTTAAGCTGCAGCTTATGCTGCCTGTTCGAAAGCTTACCTCTGCCTTTTCTGCCCTTATCCCTTCCCCTCATCCTGCCAGAATGCTGAACTTGTGGAAAGGCTGAAAACCTACCATGAAAAACCTCAGCAAAAAAAGGCAGGTGGTTCTGGTGCAAAGGAAGACGTTAACAGAAATGAAGAGTGTCAGCGCAACCCCACGGTTAGTGCTTAGGATGGTGGGATCTCAAGTGCAGATACCGGCATGTTGCATCAAGTAGCCATTCTCTGTGGGCAGCAAGGGAGAGAGTCTCACTGGAGGTGGTCCCCCAGATATGGAATATCCCCGCCTGGCTCCAGCAATGTCACCTTTCCAGTACAGGGTTAATCCCTTACTTTACTCCCAGGTGTTTGGCAGCAGATGACCCATTTTAACAAGTCCTGGGACTGTCATTGTAATTGTGCAAAATAGTTTTATATATTTTTAAGGTTTTTATGTTTGCAAACCACTAAAACAGTATTGACTCTTGGGTGGTCCAGAAATGAAATCAAATCAGGCTATTGCTCTTTTGGAGAGAAGCTTCTGCCGGATGGGAAAAGCTTTGCTGGTCAAAGTCAGCATTACCAAGCTAGGCGGAGCAATGATCTGCCTTGATATAGTGCACGTGTTGTCTATTCATGGCTCACTTTCTCAGCTCTCTCAGATGGCCATATTTATCTGAGCTGATTATCCCTAAGAGCTAGATGAAACCTCTTTGTTTAGAACCAGTATACCTTTAAATACCATATGCTGGGAAGCTGCTGCCCCTGTGCATTCCTTGTCCATGTCCCAAAAGTATCTGCTTTTGGCCACCATGGGAAGGAGGGTGCTGGACTCAGTGGACCCTTGCTCCCTCGCCCCATGGGACCCTTGTAGTCTTCTGTTACTGCTTAGGTGCCAGCCCTGATCTAAAGGTAAAAATGACAACAGTGGAGAGAGAGGGCCAGGACTGGTATTGAGGCAGCAGGGCAGGGGTCCAAATGCCTTGGAGCAAAGGGGGCTGGGTGGCATGTTAGGAGGTGATAAATGTGCTGCTGTAGCCACAGGGGGCTTTGAGGAAAAGGGAGAAGGGTTACGCTTTAGCAAGTCAGTGTAAGCACAGTAGTTAGACTGCTGGAATGGGCCTGGGGAGTCCCCACTTGGCCTTGGAACTCACTACATGACTTCAGGCCAGTCACTAACTCTTAACCTCCTTGACCTCATGGGGGTGTTGCGAGGATAAAATGGAGAGGAGGAGGGCCATGTAAGCTGTTTTGGGTTCCTCAAAACAGGAAGAAACGTGGGGTGTAAATGTAACAGTAAATAGTATAATAAGGGAAAGTAAATGTCAAGTGAAATCCATCTGTCTCTCATCCAGGCCCCTCCAACAGTGTCTGACCAGGGTGTGACCAAGGATATAAAAACTGAGCCATCTGAAGAGAAAACAGGTGACCAGCTCTTTTCCTGGTAAACTGAGTCTGGGTGGGAATTAAGGCTCAAAAATCAAGATGCTTTGGAGGCAGGAATCTGTAGCTTTGACCAGAAGAGGTGACAAGAGGCTCAGTGCTGCCAAGTAGGGACAAGGGGCGTGGATGGGGTCAGGTGTCTGTAGCATGCTGCTGAGCCAGTCCTCTTGGTTTCAGATCTGGTCCAGGGTTGGTGCGTGGTCCATGGCATGGTGCTGTACCGCCCCCGATCCAGCTGGGCGTCTCTGCAGCTCCGAGGAGGCTTGGTTTGTGTCCAGGATGGGAAGGACGTGGTCCCCTTTCATCTGCCTCCACTAAACCTCTCTGTTCCCAAGGGCTTCGCAGACAACTATGTTTGCCTAGACTGTGTACTCAGGTAAATTGACATCACTTCCTATGTTCCGTCTCCCCTGTCCAATTTCAGCATGTGACATCTTTCTGGTTCACTGCCACAGGAACAGAGAGAAGCCAAAGCAATGTCTTACATGCCAGCAAGTACAAGGGAAAGGAAGCAGGGCTAGCTTAGCCAAGAATGTCTTCAAGAGCTTCATCCCTCTTCAGAATGGTGCTTCTCAGACATCACTTCTACCTTCTGGTACCGCTAAATCCAAAAGACGGTGAGCTGGGTATATCCGCAGAGCTGCTGGTCTCCAGGGTGTGTGGAAGGCTTGTGAGAAAACCAATCATGGAAAAGCCTTCCCCAGCCGTGTGCCCCGCAGATGTGTTGGGATACTAGTCCCATTTTTCCCAGCCAGCAGGGCCATTTGATCTACTGATATGGTGGGTAGAGGATGTTGAGGGAGCACTTCCTAAAGTGTGGACTGTGGAACATAAGAAACAAATTTCTTGTGATCCCAAACTTGGTTTCACTCAGAGAGACTTGTATTCCAACACATTTGGGGAATGCAGGGTTGTAGAAAGTTGCTTTGTTCTGTTTACAGAAGGAACAGGACTTAATTCTGTTAAATCTCTTCATTGGATATGATTGAATCATTCTATTGCTTCCAGTTCAGCAGTCTTTCCTGCCTGAAGGTAGAGATTTAAAATAGCCAGGTACTTCGATTTCACTTGCAGGGGGAGGAACTATGCTTTTTCGGGGAGGGGGATGTTTTCAGGTGGGAAGGGAATTTTGAAGGAAAACTGAAATACAGCCTATGTAGAACTTGCTTTCTTATCAGCAAGTGCTTTTAACAACTTAAAATGGATCATTTGAAATACTTGGAGCCTGTATGATGTTTGTATTTGAGCATTTTTATAAAATTTACTGAGAAATCATATGCACAATCTGTTCCATTTGGTGGAATTGCATGCAGCTAGGACTGCAGCCTCAAAAGTAGAAATGGTTTCATTTTGTATAAGCCAAGCTGGGAATATTCTTAGTACTAAAGGAAGTGAGAAAGTATGAAAAACTGAACTCTGTGCCACTAGGTGCAGAAATACATTTTGGACCTAAGTGTCAATATCTACACTACCTACAGTATCTATGAGTGATCATTCTCTGATGCTTTAGATTGGTGTGCAGAACCTCGTGTGGCCCAAGGGCTGAATTCCAGTTCGGAGAAACTCTCTGGGCCCATATTCCAGCAATGGGTAGAGACAAAAGGGGAATTTCAGAACAACCTTAGTTTGGTTTAAAGCTCTTACTCTGTGTAAATAAGCTTTAGAAGAAGCATTTCAGCCTTTTAGAATAGGCAAGTTTGCAAAAGTGAGTAATGACCAAATGATTGGCTGTCAGAGATAAGAGGTAGATTTGACCTGTAGACCTTAGGTTCAAATGTGCTCAGCTCTAGAATGTCAAAAATCTTTTGAGTGAGTATAACCATGTCTTAACAAGTATTTTAAGCCAGTGTTAATGTCTGTCTTCCATCTTCTTTTGGCTCTGCAGGACCACAGAGATTAGGAAATTGTACCAGCCCCAAGAAGACCAGGCTTATGCCCAGCGGGTGAGTGCCATGATATGGGAGGCACAGCCTCATCCCCAGGAGCATTAATGCTGTTGTTTATCTGACAAAGGCCACTGCTGTGGAGATTGCTTTGAAGGGACCTGACCATCAAAGAATGTGGTGATGGCCCCATCAACCAAGATGACTTTAAAAGGGGATGAGACAGATTCATGGAGGAGAAGCTCTCCATGGCTATTGACTTTGAGGGCTTTTTGTCGCCTCCAGAATGGGAGGTCATGTGCCTCAATTACTAGCTGTTGAGGAAGAACTGTTCTTCTGGTGTACTCCTGCTGTGGGCTTCCCAGAGGCATCTGGTTGGCCAGTGTGGAAAACAGGGTTCTGGGCTAGAAAGGTATTTGATCCAGTCCAGCAGGGTTCTTTTCACAGGTTTTTCCTATTTGTGGGCCTTTCCCAGGGAACACATGCTTCAGATGCTTTATTCAAGACGGTATAGGGCCATCCCATCTAAACTATAGTGTAATCTGGTTGATGTAAAATAAAGAGTGAAAATAGTTGAGGATTACTTACTCCACAAGGACTACTTAGAGAATCCAGTGATTGTATATAACAGGAGTATCCAAACTTGATCAACAGAAGAACCACATACAATAAATGTCAGACATTTGAGAGTGGCAAGTGGGTACCTGTGTCAAACCACAAAATAAACTCAAAGAGCTACATGCAACTCGCAAGCCTCGGTTTGGCAATCCCTGGTATATAAGATTGGAATCTGCAACATAGTACCTATAGATGCCTCCTTCATACCCGCCAGATTCTACAACCCTCCTGTTTTTTGTTAAGATTTTATTTAATTTTTATTAATGAATATTTTAACTGGGCAGCTTATGTTGCAAAGTGAAGCATCACCCTCTAGCTCCATCTTTCAAAAAACTTTTTGCGTGTTGAAGGCAGATCCCACTTCTGTCTTTGCTTAGATGCTGAGGCATGCTATTTTTCTCACCAATTTCTCTTCTGGAAAATGATTGTTTTCTGACATGCCAGACATTTATGGGCAAGCCCCACCCATTCAGCCATTTTGTGGGAGCATCTCTGATAGCGTCCAAGTTTCCACTGTCACAACAATGCTACTGACTCACTAAATCCAGCTCATTCTTTTTTTTGCAGGTAGATGGGATTCTTTCCCAGATGGCCCGTGGAGAGCTTGGAATGGACCGAGCTTTGTGTCCCCTCCAGCCCCTGGTTTTCCATTCCCCAGCTCCTTTTGACAGATGCGGCATGTGACAATAAGGCTGAAAAGGAAAAAATCAAGAGAAACAGTTTTCCATCTTTTCAAATGTGGGTGCCTACATTGACAGGAAGTCTGCTTTTAGCTGTTTGTTGTCTGTTGAAATAAAGATCATTGAACATAAGTCTTGGATCATTCCTGCTCCCATATTCTGAAAGGAAGGGGCTTTGCAGCCTGTTCATTCCCATACTACCAAATAACCTACAGTTCATGGTCAAACCTAACAACCTTTTAAGAGCAAGTATATACATATTCTAAGCCCATACTGAAGCCAAAAAGCAGTTGGTTTCTGGACTTGCAAGCTACTCTGTCCTCTAACCCATGTGAGCTTGGCAGCTTTCCACAGTTTTCATAACCTCAGCTGGATCATCTGGACCCATTTCAGTCCGGCTTCAGACCCGGGTACGGTACTGAATCTGCCTTGGTCGCCCTGTACGATGACCTGTGCAGGGAGAAGGACAGGGGGAGTGCGTCCCTGTTGGTTCTTCTGGACCTCTCAGCGGCTTTCGATACCATCAACCATGGTATCCTGGATAGGCTAGCGGGATTGGGAGTTGGAGGCACTGCTTTGCAGTGGTTCCGCTCCCATCTCAACAGCCGATTCCAGAAGGTAGTGCTGGGGGACCATGGCTCTGCGCCATGGCAACTATGCCATGGAGTAACACAGGGCTCCATTTTGTCCCCTTTGCTGTTTAACATCTATATGAAACCACTGGGAGAGGTCATCAGGAGGTGTGGGCTACAGAATCATCAGTACGCTGATGATACCCAGCTCTACTTCTCATTTTCCACTAATCCAGGTGAGGTAGTGGCTGTGCTGAACCAGTGCTTGGCTGAGGTTATGGGTTAGATGAGAGCCAATAAACTGAAGCTCAATCCAGACAAGACGGAGGTCCTGTTGGTTGGCAGATGGGGCTTCGGAGAGGGTGGATTTGACCTGGCCTTGAATGGGGTTGCACTCCCTCTTAGGGACAAGGTCCGCAGCTTAGGAGTACTCCTCGACCCGGAGCTTTCATTGGAAGCTCAGGTGACAGCGGTGGCGAGGAGCGCCTTCCTTCAGCTTCGGCTGATTAATCAGCTGCGCCCCTACCTGGAGTACGACTGCCTGGTGACGGTGACACACGCGCTGGTGACTTCCCGCCTTGACTTCTGTAACGCGCTTTACGTGGGGCTTCCCTCGAAGACGGTCCGGATACTTCAGTTGGTTCAAAATAGAGCTGCCAGGTTGCTGACAGGGACGGGGTGTTATGTTCACATGACTCCAGTCCTCCGACAGCTTCACTGGCTTCCCATTGAAGTCCGGGCCCAATTCAA